AGAGAGAGAGAGAGAGAGAGAGAGAGAGAGAGAGAGAGAGAGAGAGAGAGAGAGAGAGAGAGAGAGAGAGAGAGAGATCTCCCCCCTCCCCCCCCAAACTTAAAAAGAAAAAAAATTATGCAATTTAATTTTCCTGCCCCGCCCAGTTAAGTGGTCCCATGCCAATCTGCTACTGTGCACATGCATACATATGTACATTTGGTTTAGATTTTTGGCTTTTCTTGCTTTCTCTTTTTCGTGATCTGTACACGTTTTTTTTTTTTTTTTTAGTTATTATTATTACCATTTTTTAACTTCAGGGGCCGGTAGCCAGGTAAAGGGTTGAAAAAGCCCTCATGGAGTGCCTAAAAAAAAAAAGAAGGGTCGAAAAATGAAAAAAAAAATGACAGAAATAAAATGAAGAAAAGGCTTTGTGTACGTTCTGCTAACCGGTTTCTTGGGAAGACGGCCGAAAGAGGAGGTAGATACACATTCACGAAAGAGTTTATCGCAGCAGGAGCAGCTTTGGTGCCAATAATTAACGGTTAATTCAAATCAACACATAACATGTCAGCACCAGCAACATCTCCAGATCATGACTCAGGGTACCTGAAGGGGGGCCTGAACAAAGATGCTTCAGCGAACATGCACTGGAGTCACTGGACTCTCTTTTCCATTTCCAGATCGTGAGGATGGTGGATCAGTTGTATATTTGGATCGGTCTGAACCCGGCGAGGATGGGAGATGTGTTCATAGCCATGCCAACCCGATCTGATTCTGTGCCAAGTCTCACAACTTTGATCGGAGGGGGGAGTGATACAGCAGCTGCTAGCTTAGCGCGAGCGAGGCATTTGTGGAGAAACGCCTTGTGCTAATAGGAATACCAACATCTTGATCGTAAATGACAGAGCATCGAGTCGTGCTTGATTGATTTTTCATTCTGTTCCTTTTATGATGGTCAAGACAGAGCTTTTACACTTCAATGGTGACGAAAGGTGAGTTCAGCTGTAAAGAAACAGTCGTACGACAGACTTCTCTACTGATACTGGGACAACTATGTCGTGCATAGCGGGAATGAATCTTCCCACGAAAGCGGGAAGATACATTCCCAACAGGCAGAGCGCTCTCTCTCTCTCTCTCTCTCTCTCTCTCTCTCTCTCTCTCTCTCTCTCTCTCTCTCTC